AGTTGTTTTGAGTTCCATATGTTCTTTAACTGTAGGAATGCTGTCCTTGCTTTGCCAATCCTTGCCTTTACGTCTGCATCTGAACCTCCTTGTTCATCGATGATGCTTCCTAGGTATGTGAAGGACTCTACATTTTCCAGAGTTTCGCCATCAAGAGTGATTGGGTTGTTGTTCTCCGCTTTGAATTTGAGGACTTTGGTTTTCCCTTTGTGTATGCTGAGGCCTACTGATGCAGAGACTGCTGCTACACTGGCTGTCTTCATCTGCATCTGTTCGTGTGTACGTGATAGGAGTGCTAGGTCATCTGCGAAGTCCAAATCGTCTAATTGATTCTGAGCTGTCCATTGAATTCCGTGTTTTCCTTCAGATGTCGAGGTCTTCATAATCCAGTCGACCACCAGAAGAAAGAGGAAGGGAGAGAGTAAACAGCCTTGTCTGACTCCGGTCCTTACTTGGAATGCATCTGTCAGCTGTCCTCCATGCACGACTTTGCACTGTAGTCCGTCGTATGAGTTCCGGATAATGTTGACAATCTTCTCAGGAACTCCGTAGTGTCGAAGAAGTTTCCATAACGTCCTCCTATCCACACTGTCAAATGCCTTTTCATAATCAATGAAGTTGATGTATAGTGATGAGTTCCACTCAACTGATTGTTCGACGATGATCCGTAGTGTTGCAATTTGGTCTGTGCATGATCGATCCTTACGGAATCCAGCTTGTTGATCTCGAAGTTGGGCGTCTACTGCATCTTTCATTCGGTTCAGCAACACTCTGTTGAAGACCTTCCCTGGTATTGACAGCAGTGTAATGCCTCTATAGTTTTCACATTTGCTCAGATCTCCTTTCTTTGGAATCTTGACGAGGTGCCCTTCTTTCCAGTCCATTGGCACTTGTTCCTCCTCCCAAATCTTTTTGAATAGAAGATAAAGCATGTTTGTAGTTGCTTCGATGTCTGACTTCAGTGCTTCAGCTGGTATGTTGTCCGGACCCGCTGCTTTCCCGTTCTTGATTTGTCTGACGGCCATTCTGATTTCTTCCTTTGTTGGTGGGTTGACGTCTATGGGAAGATCTGTGTGTGCCGCTTCGATGTCCGGTGGATTCATTGGAGCCGGCCTATTCAGGAGTTCCTCGAAGTATTCTACCCATCTGTTCCGCTGTTGTTGAATTTCGATGATTGGCTTGCCTTCTTTGTCTTTGACCGGTCTCTCTGGTTTACTGTATTTTCCTGCTAGTTTCTTCGTTGTATCGTAAAGCTGTTTCATATTTCCTTCTCTAGCAGCTTTTTCTGCCGTCGTTGCTAGTTCTTCCACATATTTCTTCTTGTCGGCTCTAATGCTCCTCTTCACTTGTTTGTTTGCTTCTATGTATTCAGCTTGTGCTTGGACTTTCTCTGCTCGTGTTCGGCTGTTGTTTATTACTGCCTTCTTGTTCTTCCTTTCTTTGATCTTGTCCAGTGTTTCTGTAGAGATCCATTCCTTATGATGGTATTTCTTTGGACCCAGAACCTCTTGACACGTTGAAGTCAATGCTTCCTTGATGCCTTTCCAGTTGTCCTCCATACTAGTTTCTTCCTCTTTCAGTAGATCTTGTAAGGCTTGGAACCTGTTGTTGAGAGCTATCTTGAATTCATTGAGTTTGTCAGTATCTCGAAGGAAGGCTGTATTGAACCTTTGTATTGCTGTTTGTCCACTTGTCCAGTTCTTTTTTAGCTTCAGTTTTAAATTGGCCACAACTAGGTGGTGATCTGAAGCTACGTCAGCACCTCTCCTGGTTCTCACATCTTCCATTGTCCTTCTGAATTTTTTGTTGATGCAAATATGATCTATTTGGTTCTCTGTAGTGTGGTCCAATCTACTCACATTAGTGATTATATTATGGTTGATTTCATTCAACCCCTAGACACCTGCTGAAATCTATCCATGATTACATATAATCGTCATGAAGTCGTTATTTTCAATATCAGTCACAGATGACATTTCATTCTTGTGTAAGATCAAATTAAAATAGACGACTTCTTTAAAATCTATAAAATTGAAATATGTCACATGAGAACTTTTCTCTCACAGACATTTAACGTCTCATATTATCAATGATGATTGTAAAAGTTGACTGAATATTCACCAATTACTAATATTGATTTACACACTGAATCTTGAACTGATTACCATTTCATCTATATGGTGACTATTAATGAAATTGAACAAGACATGAATGCTGGTTACCATAACTAGCCATCATTAAGTGTGTGACCAAATGAGAATATTGAGATTATCCTATCTGGTTGCATGTATGCCAAGATGAGACTAATCAATTACAGTACGTAACATATACAGTGAATTAGTCAAGTCTGTACAAATGAAATCACTACAGATTTGTCGAATTGCATATCAATTGTGATTTGTCAGCTGATCTTACAATATGGCTTCTTTCAATTTCGGAATATATTATTTCATTCTTTTATAACCATAGTTATATTGGAGACAGTTAGTGGATTCACGGGAAATGTGTACCTATCGAGTAATGCTGATCCACGTAAGTCATACTATGAAAATGACCATATTTGTAAATTTGTTAAATTTTACTGAATTTGAAAACATCTCAAGTGTTCCCTGTGTCCTTCTAATTGATCAATTAATGAGGAACATTTTGAAATATTAATATGTTATTATTATTGTTGTTAATGGAGTAGCAAAACGTATATGATTGACTGAAGTTGTAATGGAAATGAAATGAGATGAATATGAGTGGAATGAGAAATTTGACATCAATTGTTCTTTGTGATAGTTGAATACATCTAGTTTTATTTAACTGAGATTTCAGGCATCACATGTACTGTGTCACCGATTTTACTCGCGTTAAAGCGTTTGTTTTGTTTATTTGAGAATCTCGTCAAAATTTACGAAACATATCAATCATGATGAGTTGAAGCCCACCTTCTAATTGATTATTTTGAGATTCCTTCCCCTCTCTTTCTAAAAACAAACCAGCATATTGGTCAGAGTGTAGTGTGCTTCAACTATTAAGATTGTAGTTAACTTATAGATAGATATTTATTCTTAAATAATTATCTTATGATAATCATTCATGAATAACGAAGAAACTTCACTGCAAAGTACTCGCTCATCAACTGATTATACTCTCAAGTTTGTTGAAATGGACTAGTTAATAAAACTTCAAGTGATAGTAAATAAATTCATTTACTTTTGATGTCTGATTTTCAAGTATCTTGTATTAGTCTTTCAAGTTGCTTGATATGAACTTTCAAGAAGCAATCAGTTGGAAATAGCTTCCCTATATAATATCTTCTCTGTGAAGAAATATAATCTCTGTAAATAAACACATAATATAAGAGATGGTGGAGAAGATTTGTAGCTCAGGTGAATGATTTTGGTGTTTTGTTCTCTCCAGCTCAGAGAACAAAACTCCACCAAAAACATAATATAAAATGAAGCCGATTATAGCATCATTTAATATTTAAATGAACATCAATATCTCTCTAGTTCCATTCTTCGATATACATAACCTAATCACAAAACTTGCATTTTCCTACTAGAAAATTATCACAATATTGATGTTTGCATTGGGACTTCAGTCCAGTACTGATAAACACATTTGAAATTCCTTAGATTGGATAACACTGGATATCATTGCCAATCACTATCAAGCATTGCTCAAAAATCTTACTGGCTTTAAAGAAACATTGAAGCTATCCTTTCATGATGTGTATATGTCAATAGTGACTCGTAAAGTTCTGTACTTAAATTAAACAACGATATGTTTTAAAGCCGTACAAATGAAATGATTAGTTGATAATAATTTGTATATATAACAGGATTTCAATGAATGTGTCTTTATTCATCCAAATTATGTATTATTCTTGAATAGTTTATTTTAGATAAAAATATCGAGTTGAATTCATGAGTTTATCTAATTTAGACCGTTAGTGAAAACCTGGAAGCACTGAAAGACCGTTTTGTTCTAGTATGGGACTACTCAAAAGTGAACATCAATGACCTAGCACATGCGACTCGAACTGAAGACCATAGGTCTCGCATGTAAACGTTTAATCTTTAGACAACCTCCAGATCAATTTATAGAAAATTATTTTGTTTTGCATACAATACATTTATATATAAGTGAGATATTTTGACTGAAAGTTGTTCCCTATTGAATGGTGAACAAACCTTTACTCGACATAACCTATGTAGTACGATTTTTTAAAATTTTAGTTACATAAGCGGCAGTTCATTGTCGAGGTTGTCCAAGTTAACTATCTTTATCAGTTGTCTTTGTACATGTTTATTATCATAGATGATTCCATGATGTGTTCATATTTGGTGACGAATATATTAGAAATATCATGGAAAGAACTTCTAAAATGAAAGCAAAAAGTGATCGCTTTATTCGATAGAATAAATTCACTTATATAACGATGAATTAGTTAATATAATTCGAAATGATAAGTTAATGAATCAATCATTCTTTGATAACTGTTGAAAATCAGGAAACACTTGACGATTGTTTCATCCTGGTTTGAGATTCTCTACTATTATGAATTCACAACACTAACTAACACATCGCATTAAAAATAACACTGTCATTCATTATAGCTGACGACTTATCTTTCAAGTACTCAATAGGCATTTTGTATGATTGATGTCTAATTTCAATTAATTAGTGATATTGCATTATCAAATTCCATTTAGTAACGTAGATAATTGTCTCATATACAACATGATTACACTTTAACTCTTTTATATTATGATTAATATTTTCATTAGCTCTATTCTGTATACTAATTCCATTGTCTTCAAAATTAACTTTAGACTGTATAAATTTTTATTTGCACCATTTTGTTTATATCTATAGAGGATTCAAAAGGTACAACGTTCTGGTTACTATACGAGAGTAAAGAATATCTATACTTTCAATGGATTCCATTTGAAAGAGGATATTATGGTGCTTTATTTCTTGAACAAGAGGATGGTGTTTCACGACAAATGTCAGATGATCAAGAAGACGGAATGTTAAGGACTGTTGCTCCAGCATGTAAAAATCAAAAGTACTCTATAAGGCAATCAATACGCTGGCTGTTAGTTCGTTATTATGATAAAGAATCAAGGGAACTACATTTTAATCGAAGTGAGTTTGATTATTTTTAAATTGATTAGATACAGCTGAACATTATCAACGTAATTGGTATTATTCCATTTACCACTGATGAGAATTGAAATCTTTAAACAAATTACGAAACATGAAGAATTAATGTCATGTATTCGAAAAACCATTTTTTTAATTAACCATCTTCATAAACTGAAGTCAATGATATCAGAATTTGCAAATCGTTTAGATGTACACCTAAATAGGACAATTCGTATCGATGATTTCTATCGACTCAGATCTTAAAAAATCTTGTTGACTGATTCGGTTCACATGATAAGACTGTGATATTATGTGGTGTGTGCTACTGATATCCACAGGTATAAGTAGTATGTATCTGTTATATCCATTTAAGAATAATGAATGGTAACTGTTGGAATCCATTTATGGATCAATACTATACGTAGATTTTTATCGTATAATTGCTAAGTAACTAAACTATTCTTATTCATGTCCCTCTTATTATGAGCTTTATTTTGACCTATGAAATATTATTATACGATTTACCGTTCTTCGGTTATACTTAGTCTATTAATTACAGTCTCCCACATTCACAACCACTTTCGGCTAATTGTTGTACAAATGTTGTTTCCTATTTTATGGTACGATATGGTCTAGTTGGTTAGTATATAAACGCAGTCTGTTTGAAATATCGCAGAGGTTGAGATGTTCTGAACTTAACTGTCTGGACTAGGCAGGAAACAGGACCGATAATGACTCTAGACTGCTCATACGGGTTTAATACGTCATTTGTCCGATTGATAATTCACTGCCCTCTAATTGGCCGTATTATCTCGTTATACATTAAGAGGGTATACAGGCCAAAAATTATAACAGTATCATTAATTAAAAGGGAAATACCTGAAGTAGAGGGTTAAGAAGATTGAAGAAAAAGGAACAAGAACATAGAATGATTACTACGAAAACAAAGGAACAATAAAGTCTGAAATGACTGATTAACATTTTGCAAATGAATTATTCATTGTATGATTCTCAGATTTTACTTAGATATTCTGTAATATTGTACTCAGCTACAATCGATTGTCCCCATTTCTGTCCTCATTCAACTACAATTATATATATATTATAAGTGTTTTGATATTTTGAAATGAACAGTTCTTATACCATGGATCTTATACCCATATATAACCATATATGTATGTTATTCAATCGATTTTTTTTCTGGATCATTCTGATCAAAGTTTTCAGAGTGGAACAAATTACATTTGAAACAAGAAATGATAAATCGACCTCTTTAACATGGATAATTGATGATAAAATTTGTTCAACAGAAGATTTAATAATAATATTTAAAAAAGATTCAACAGGATTTCATCGAATGTATACTATTTCGGCTAATGAAAGAAATTATCATTTTACTGATGAATTACATGATGATGAACATGTTATTATTACTACTTATCATGATCAGGCATTCGGTTTATCTGAATTAGGTAAATTTGTAGTAGAAATAAATTGTTTAACTGATAATTCAATGAAATTTTATTAGTATTCTTTATATTACTAAACTACTACTAATACTATTACTATGGTGTGTGCTACTGATATCGACAGATATAAGTAGTATGTCATATCAATCGAAAATGAAATACCTGATAGCAGAAAGTTAAGAAAATTAAAGAGAAAAGAATGTGAAACAGAGAGTGATTGATATGGAAATAAAAGGATAACAAAGTGTGAGACAATTGATTGATATTTTGAAAGAATGAATTATTTACTGTATGATTGTCAGATTTCGCTAAGAGATTGGTTGTCACCGTCTGTGTTCTCGTTCACTAAACTACAACTAATATATAAACAATAATAATAATAGTCATTTTATTAACTAATTTCGAGTTTTAGTTTACAAAGTTTTAGTCAGAAGACTTGAACGGTCTAGTTCAATCGTATCAGATCAGTGACTGTTATTCACTTTCAGATAATAGAAATCGGTCACACGATACCGTGAATTGATTACAGTTGGAGATGTACATCATATGATGCCGACTGGATGGTTTAAATGTTAAATTTTTACAGCTAGATCCATTAGTACTTGATTAGATTCTATATGGAGTTGTTGCACAAAGACAATGATATTGAATATTTTCTAAGTATAGTAAAACAACTATTCAGTGCCTCCCAATTTTCAACTGAGTTCTAACCAAATTTAATGAGTTACCACTTCTATGAAAATTTACAGTCAATGTTCATTATTGAGAGGGATAGTTCATATTCAGCTTGATAAACACTATCATAAAGTCATATCCTTTTTCTCTGCAATAACAGATTTCTGTTATATAGAAAATAGTGTTGTATTGGTTTTGCTTCGTTAATCGATTGCATCGATAACCGTTATAATATAAATTTCAACGGTGCAGTGAGAAGCGGCAACTACAGTTTATTAGCGGATAGCTCAGATCACAAAGCTATAAGCAAATTGAACGAATTTAAAGAGGAGAGGCGATTAGGTATAAGTGAGCAATTAAATATGAAAAATTTATAGTCGAATTGCATAAGGGCGCAGCAAGGTAAAGCAAGGACTAATAATGGGATGATGAATCATCGAGTGGTATTTCAGAAATCAACATTTTAGCTCGAGTCTGTCATATGCTCTAATGATTATAACGGTACAGAGAAATATCTGAATTATTACCGTTCAAATAACATTGTCTTTTAAGCAAGTTAATGAAAGGGCTCAACCAAAATTAACCATAATCAAAATTGGTTTGTAGGATAGTTGCTATAGTGTCAGTACTGAAAATATTCTATAAAAATAATATAAATTTCCCTTTATATATCCATAGAAAAGTGAAGATAAATTTATTGACTCATCGATCTCCATTTTAAAATGATACTTTTAATGTTCACCATTAGTTATCTGTACGACATAAAATATTATTACTCACCGACTTTAGTTAAAAGTACCAAAGTTGAATGGCTACATTCGGTAAAGGGGCTTTCATTGAGTTGTATAGATGTCTTTATTGACATTGAGTAGTACATTGCTGATTACTACAAACAAACAATTCGTTCATATTATCAAAATAGTCAATTTCATTATTATCAGAATATCACACTACTTACTCACTATACTTATATAAACTTCATGAAAGTCGGATAGGGATATTAAAATGGCAGTTTATGGAACTCATCAGTTTTTTCTTATCAAACTAACATCATAATGAAATGAACAGGTTAAAATATGCACGAATAATGGATTGTTGTTTTGTTTTTTTCGATTTTCCCTCTTCTATTTATCATACCATGGAATAAAACGAACATTGAACAGTTGTAAGTTATTTGATATTAGAAATTAGAAATTATAATGTAGAACACTTTTTAACGAATTTAAACATCATAGCTTAGGATGTATGATGTTGGTAATGAGATAATCATTGACAAGAAGAAGCCAGTAGTTGGCTGTCCCATTGAGATATTCAGCAATATTTATTCATAAACATAAGACGAATAGTTCTCCATAAATACTCATTGTCTTTACAACCATTACACTAGACAAACGAATGTCTTAAATCGGAAGTGTAGCCAATGTTATTATTTATTTGTCAGGTATACCATTGTTCACTACCCATTTCCTCTTTATCACAATCTTATATATAGTTATACGGATTTCCAAAATGTATTAGTCTTTATTTACGTCTATCATGCATTCTTTTTCTTGAACACATTCGAGTTTCATGATTTTGTGTTTTTCTTATTCCCACAGATACATAAAAACAAATCTAATGTAATAGGTAATATCATTTATTATATTTTTGAGTGGCCAAAGTCAGGTTCTCTTTTCAATGAATTAAGTATTAATCTGTACATGAATTTGTATTTGCACACAACCTGAGGGGCGTTATACAATATCTCACTCTTAGTATTCACACTAGGTAACCTAGTATTACAATCCTGTCATTACATAATCATCGTTATTCAATGCATTTACTTTATCCCACACTAATAAAATACATCCCATTGCATAGTTTGATGCGTAATTCGTGAAAAAGTAGGAACTCATTGATGAATTTCATTTTTCTCTTAATAATTAAATTCACATTGAAAATTGTTACTGATCACTGAATACTCGTTAAACATCTCAGAGGTTATTTCAGCTTAGTATCGTCAAAGATTACGTATTAACACTTAAATCAGTTTGATCATGAATAGTGAAATGAAATCTCAAGCGAGACGAAATTCACATTTCATAGTTTAAATGGACTGAGTTGGTTCTGTTTGGTTATAGATTTCAAATCTTTATCTCAACTTAATGGAATCAATAAACAATAATTCACACTGAAAACAGTTCTCGATCATCATAAATAGTTAAGTGAACTCAATGTGTCAGACTACAATAATAATAATGGCAGAATAAGAATTCATGGCAAAAAAACAGGGTTTCCAGTAGTAATACAATAAAGTTTAAATGAGTTTAACAAGCTCTATCATGTGTTGTGTTCTATGTCTTTGAACAGATATAACAAGATATCACAATTGACATTGTGATGGAACACTCTCATCAACATCATCACAATTATAAAAATACATTGTTTAATCATCTACCATTTTTGTTGGCATTGATATTTTTGATATGGTTGGAGAGAGTTGTGAAGATTGTTGAGTTACCATAGTTTACATTATGAGCTAATTTCAATTATGCATTCACTGAAGAGTAGGAAACACTGCATATCCATCTATTGAAGAATGTACAATTCTGGAGGAATGTGTTGCACACAATGTCCGACATTCTCTTTCCGAGTTCCACTCATCATCTGATTGACACATAAGAACATGGAATCTGGTTAATTATGATTTATTATAATACCTTTGTTATGAACACTAGTATATAATGTGAAGTATCACGTTTAAAGGTTAAAATGTGTTTGTTATATTGATAAACACTGTTGAGCAGTACACAAGGGGTATTTGTACATGTGCATAATTTAGACAAATACTTGTACCCTACTGATAGAAAATATGAACACTTTCAACAATACCCGTGTGTAGTTTGATTGCGTGTAGTATAAACATTGACAAAATGAATGTGTTACCGAACAAGCTTTAGATAACGTTTACATAAAATGAGTGTGACATTAGCACATTGATCAGGAACTGATTCATTAAAAATATTTGTCTGACAGTGATTATGAATTACACTCTATATGATTGGATCAGTTAGATGATTGGAATATGACCAAAGAAAATCTGATCATTTCAAATAGTTTGCCATATTGGTATCTTTGTCGACTTATTCAGCTATCATAAAACTACTGAATATTTCAACAGATATTATCAGAATGGGTTTTATGGGAGATTTTTCAGAAATTTCACAATTTGAAATAATGAGTCAATTGAATCTAGACCACTGTGGAAAACCTGGAAACACTAGACGGCCGCTTTGTCCTAGTATGGGACTCCTCAGCAGTGCGCATCAACGATCCCACACCCCGCGGGATTCGAACCCCGGACCTACTGGTTCCTTGGAAATGATAATTTAGCGTAATATATTTTTTTTATTTTCAAAATATAATCTTTTCATTAACCAATAACTACATTCTTTATTGATCGCTTAGGAAATCTGGATGTGCAGAATAAAAGTAATTTGGGTTAATATATTTATGACAATATTACTGCATAATCATATGTATTCTTTTGTGTTGTGATCAGTTATTGTGTCAGGATAACTTCAATTTGATTTCGGTTTAAGAATATGTGTTTATATCTGTTCATGTTGATGAGAGCAAGTGAGTGGACAAGTGTCCTCTATTCATTGTTCAATACATGTATGGTATTGGATATGATCGGGCATCTTTCACTTCATTTCATCAGTGAATGTTTCTTATAAGATTGTTACTTTCGATTTATTGCTCATTTCGAGATCCACTGAATTCACGTATTCATTGCAGATAGTTATAGATAACTTCATATATTTATATCGAAATCTTCAGTGAAATTTGTACTGTTCTATACAACACATATCCACTAAGAAGTATGCAGCAAATCACCCTCAAATCCTGAATACCACACATTTGTTAAACACTGACAAATGAATGAACATCCTCATTGTAGTAAGCATGGTAATCTTCTGTATTAGTGAAACAGATAACATGACATTTGAAAATGGTACGTAATCATTGAGTGTACATCAATAAACAAATTGCTCTAGAGTTTCAAAATGTGAGACAATTTTGTCATTGATGTGTTCTATTGAAATTTGATGTAGTTAACTGTTAGAATGATACATCAATTGAATTTTGTTTGATATAAAACTACTTTTATCATACTCTTGAATATCAAATTAAGATGTTCAGTTTGAAAAGAAGCCTCGTTGAACAATAACCCATAAGAACGTACTTTTTCATGTAATAGAACAGTTTACATACGTACATCATAGAGACCCTGAACGACATGGCTCAAAATCGTTTGCAATAGCACAGGTGCATACACTCTTTGTGTTATCTCCTGATTCCTCCTTGTCTCTTTTTTCTCTTCCCAAATTTATTTCACTGT